TCTTGCTTTGATCCTTTTTTCTTTTCGTAGGCTTAAACTTCATTTCCCTAAGACAAGTGTGAAATAAAAAACAATACCCATCATCGGGTAGAGGCTGGAAAAGATCAGGTTTTTCTGAGTTATAACGCTTAAAAATAGTATTATTAAAAAATTATATTACGTTTCGACAAGCTGGACACAGGCCATTTTCTTCGTTGATAATTTTTGACCAGCAAAACCGGCATATCTAATATTTAAGAATGATTCATAATTACCTGATAGTTACAGGCGCAAGGAAAAAATGCCAAATCATCAGTTTCCATTCTTTCCATACATAAAGGGCACTAGTAAAGTAAATATACAAATAAAGGTTAATATTACTTCGCGATCGTCAGAGGCCATCTCCGTTCTAAAAAGATAATCTAGTATTAATAGACTTATTTCGAAGAATAAATAAAATATGTGCATTTAATAAAATAATATTAAGCCAATTATTTGAACGCAACCTGTTAAGAAATAGATTAAAGAGCAGGCCAGAATTAATGAATTAAGAGAAGAAAATAAGCACAAGCGTATATCAACGAAGATAGCGGCAATGAAATTTGTATACAGTTTAACAAAGTCGTCAAGTTTTTATTTGTACTTGATTATGAGGCTTTTTTAACATGTTAATATTTTAAAATATTTTATAGCAAAAATTACACGTTATTGTTTTTAGCAGTAATTTGCGAACATGGGCATGATTGATTAATCATATCCCATCAAACTTTACTAGTAGATTCTGATTAAAACTTGCACGATATCGGAGGGACTTACACTAAAAGTATGGTACTTTATAGCTTATTTTACTCATAATTACTATGAAACCTTGTATTGCTTTAGGATAAGCGTATGGAAATATCAGAAATAGTCGAATGAATGATAGCAAGTCCTGGATTGTGTGCCCTAATATATGTAATAATACATCTCTACATATAGAAATGTGTTTGTCTTGCTTTTGGCACCTGATTTAATGCATTAAGTATATAGATAAGAACTAAACTTATGAAGAACTTATTAGCTGTAAACACCTTTGCGCCTTGATAAAGATGGAAGGAATATCCATCCGTGGAACAAAATCAATTTGCTCTATCATATAAGGTTAAAATGTACCGCTTAAACTGTCTATGATCAGAGAATTTATTTGCATTTTTTATTTAATTTTATAATAAAGAATTGGACGACTAAGCTTATATGGTCTCTATCTCCGCTGAATTATTCTCTTGCTTTAAAGAAAGCCCAATAGGGATTAGGTCTGGGAGAATTCGATGAACGCATGTTGTCTTAGGTTTATGCACATGTAGTCATGAGTATTCTTAATGCCAGACTGCAATCATAGTCTTTATCCTACCAGCATCGTAAGCAACATAATATAGCATTAAGCCAAATCTTGTCTAAATGATAAATTAAGTCTATCCCTTGAATATCTGCCTACTTGAAAGTTGTCTGGTCCTTGAAAATTTACTCATTTATTATCGTACAATTTTACCGCTTTACTACATTAATTTCAAGGTTAACCCAGAGATGTGCCTCCTCGAGTCTATTACTAAAGGCGTAATGACTATGCTCGATAATTACATATTACACCTCTCCATTACACCGAAAAATTTAAACCTGGCTTTGTCCTTTAGATCAAGATTATAACTATTGCAGGGAGAATGAAATTATCGTTCGTATTATATTATTTTTTATATCATTGAGTTTGATATTTTTTGATTTTGTTCTCGTTTGCTGAGGTTACTGTGCGCACGCTATTAAAGTCATGAGACTGATCATGGGAATAACGCCTTATATATTCCATAGGTATAGAATGTGGCATAATACAGTTAATTAACCAAGGAAATGGTAACTAAGTTATCAAGTCACAAGTAAGTCTGAATATTACAGAAAGGAAGATCTAAGTCTAATAATAAAATTCCGGTATAATGACCATTGGGGTGGAGGATCTCAGTTGGTCATATGATACTTTCCTACTTAATCTGCTAAAAAGACACACCTTCTAAGATAGTAGTATTAATAATGAAGGGATGAGTTGTGAGAACATGGGATAGGTAAATCTATCAAGACTTTATTCGGCACAGAGTTATCTCCTGGACTCTACTTGCCTTAATGTCACATTTTAGCTTGGCATTAATTAGGGAATTCCTCACTAATTATATTGATTATAATGCTTGCTAAACTAACACGATCTGAAATTGGCAAAATTCATGCTAAGTGATTGTTTGCCATTCATACATATCCTGTTAAAATAAAATGTTAACATTTCGTTATAATATAAGCGGCCTTTAATTAAGTTAGATTACTGCTAAGTTTAAAGTTATGAAGTTTATAATATGAATATGATCTTTTATTAAGAAATTAAACAGTCCTCCTTAAATCCATGTTTTAGAATATAATACATATTCTGATTAGTTAAATCAAATGAGTAGTTCTTTAAATTAATTTTGAAAAGCAACAGTGCTTTATTTTGTTGAAAATATACAGAATTTAATATTGACTTGATTCTCGTCTTTTGAAACCCAGTTGCTAAGAGCCAGGTGTTTGACTGTCTAAAATTCGCTTTGAAAAATTTCTATTTTAATGATTGTATATCAGTACGTACCTTTAAATACAATATCTTTAAATGGCAGAATTTAAATTCACACAAATTTTAACTCAATATCTATAAGATAAATTTGAAATGCTCATGACAGAGGGCACAATTATAACAAGTCTAAAGGCTAAAAACGCTTGATAAAAGAGAAAATGTAAAGAAACTTTGCTCTTACTCTATGTGCCTTAGTTTACATAATTATTAGGGAATAGGATTAGAGTTTTTGACTATCAATCTTTTATTTCAGTTCGTAGTATATTAAATCATTATACACGGTAGCTGGTTCTACAGTATAGTAAAGCTTGTACACTCCGACTTAATATACATTTGAATGCCCTGGGATGAAAATAGGAAAGGAAAAATTCTTAGTATTAAGTGCCTTTTTTTAAACAACAAAATTACATAATAGTTCTGTGTATTTACAATCAACTTTTAAAGACTAGAAAAGTCAAAACTCCGGGTGTCACAGCAGATCAGAAAAAGATAATGGAGATAATGTGACTAACCTATACATTATTTTAGCGTAATCTTGCATTCCACCATCTGATAGGACAATGCGGGGTCAGGCTTTGAATGGTGGACGTGAACTAAAGGGATTAGTCCTACTCTCAAGTGATCGATGTGTCAAAATATTTTAGGCTATGGCAACTTACATGATGTAACAAAACAAAACAATGAATATGAAAATATAGTGATAGGTCATTAAATGCTAATGTGAACACTTGGTGAGACATATCACTTTGATCATATGAACCAAATTTAAGACAGTTTTCTTTCCCCTTGTTAGAATGTTTTCAATGGCTTAATACAGTACTTCAAATTAGAATTTAATATTCCCGTAAGCTAAACTGTGTGTGTTAAGCTGTAAAAAAATTATGTCTTCAGCTAGTGTCGGTCGAAATATCTCAATCATCATGCCTGACCAGTTTTCCAAATAGCCTCTCATTGCTTCCGCCTGGCCTTCCCAATAAGATTCCTTCACAACGTGACCAGACTATTAGCGTATGCTGCAATTTAGAAAAAAGAAATTGTTTTCCTTTTTTATGAGCACATGTGCCGAAAGTGCCTATCAAAGAATATTCCCTTCGAAAGAATTAAGGTAGAATGCTATCCGTTATAGCCAATAGTCTAGAGTCTATAACTCTAGAAATAATTAATTTAAGATAATTTCGACCTCTAAATTTTAAATAAAGTTTTAGAAAAAATCTGATACACTGCATTTTAATAGTTGTATTAATAAAAAATATTAAGTTAAGATGCTCAAAGAAATAATGGGTAAACATAAAAACCTTTTTTATTAAAATTCTGTATGCTTCATACTCAATAGGATCTAAATCAATAAAAAGCCTCAGCAAACCATAGATAAATTCTATCAAAATGCAAAAGATAGATCTAAATCATCGGCATTAAGATAATTTCCTCTCATTTCAGTAATGAAAGATTCATTTTGAAGTAGAATCATTTCGTTTTCACCTGATAAATATTAGTTACTACTTAAGTTATTATAAATTATTTTTTCTACCTATTGAGAAAATTTTGTATATGCTTTAGCTGACAATTTAAGACAACAATTATAGTTATCTTTATTAAACCTCGACCCAGTTGTCTTACAAGTATCACTAAAGCCTTACTACAGAACATTATATTCAAAAATTCTTTAAAATTATTATAAATTTATCAGATTTTATTATAAATAAAGATAATTTTACTTGATTGTTTGTAATATATATGACGTTTAAATGTGTTTGGTTTTGATGCGACCATCCAATTTTCTCTTTCTCAAATGTTGGTCATGCTTTTATTTTCTTCTAACATTTAGGAATTACGATAACTGTTCTAGTGAACTAGATGGAGATGAACACATGGAGGGGGAAATTATAGAGATGGAAACAGAGACTACAAATATATTGCTAGTTACACAAGACCCACATGCACTTGGCGAAAACGTTGGGTATTGATATATCTTTGTTTGACTATACAGATCCGGAGAATCTCTTATGCATTTTATTAAAGGAAATATTGGAACGGGTATTCTTTCAATGCCAATAGTTTTTAAATATTCTGGTTTGTGGGTAGGTTCTGTCTTTACGCATGTTAGATTGGTCTTGCCCTTATTACATTTTGCGGTGTTGTGTCAACATACCTTCTATTCGTTCTTTCTTCTATTTCTAATAGTCTCGTAGATAAGTGAGTTTTATTTTACATAATTATGTACAGACATGGTCTAGATCGTAACACTCTAGACTACGCTGATGCTGTATTTTACGTTTTTAAATTTGGACCGATTAGGTTTAGAAAATGGAAAGGAAAAATTAAGTAAGTTACTTTTAATCTACACTTATATGTATTTTATTTCACTTTCTACGACGCATGCCGTCCACATGCATTTTTTCACAATTAAAAAATTTAACTGGATGATTGATTCTTGTATTCTAGACACACAGTCAATGGATTTCTTATTTTAACTCAAGTTGGATTTTGCTGTGTTTATCTTCT